CTTATTCCACCAGAACTAGTCAAATTGGTAAACCACAAACCAACCGTCGGAATCTCAGTCCCACCATTGAAGTTTAAATTAGTAGAGTATTATGAAGTTTTCAATTAAATTTCCAGTAAAAATCTTGCATTCTTTGATGCCATAAACTTGTTCTATCTTAATAGATAACTATGATTCTACTTGCTCAGCATAAATACATTCACTTCACATTACTATCAACCTGTCCACCGGAAGCCCTTCTTTTTCAGTTGTAAATGTGTATCTAATAGTAGAAACTTGATTTCGACAAGCTGGTCAGACCGTGACAAGGTCCACTGTATAGGCAATACTCCCCGCTTTTCTCGGGTTTCCTAAGGCATGTCACTTCTTACTCGACAACGAAAGGAAGCAGGGGAAATTATAGTTCATGAATTTGGGAAATTGATTTCAAAATTGAAACAGGAGAGATAAATAAAAAGAATAATTGGAGTTTCTAGAGGTTAAGGTATGGCTTTAGATAGGACAAAAGTGAAATATGTTGTTTGCTTTATGAAAGGGTAGAAATGACAATTTATAAGAAAAAAGTATGTCAAAAGCAAGGACAGTTTATAAGAAGAAAGTGTGTCAAAAGCAATAAGTGCCTCTACATGTAATTGCAATGTCAAAATGTCTGTTGGTGTAAAATTTCCTTGTATAAATACATTCATATTCGTTGGTTCATTTGATGTTGATTTTTTAGAGTTATTCTTTGGTTCACCCCCTAGGGTGAACCTCTAGATTCACCAACCAATATGATGGTGTTATTTCATATTTGATATCTTTTTAAAAAGAAAATAAAATCTTGTTAGGTTATATTATGTTTTTAAAATAAAAATACAAAAAATAAATAAAAATACTAATATTTACAAAAAACAAAACAAAATTCTTAAAAAAAAATATTTTAACACTAAAACACTAAACCCTAAACACTAATCCTAAACTCTAAACCCTAAACCCTTGGGTAAATCATAAATCCTTTGAAAAAATCTTAAACATTAAATCAAAAAAATTAATACTAATCAATTATACTGTTTTTATTTATTTTTATCTTTTTATTTTTAAAAAATAAGATAATGTAACAGTATTTTTTTTTCATTTTAAAGATATATTAAAAGATTTTTTTTAAAAAAAATTGTTTTTACAGTTATTACTGTTTTTATTTTGTTTTTACCTTTTTATTTTAAAAACATAATATAATGTTAAAATATTTTTGTAAATAAATTTTCCCTTATTTGTAAATATTTTTATTTTTATTTTAAAAACATAATATAACTTAACAAGATTTTGTTTCTTTTTTTAAAGATATCAAATATGAAAAACACCATTCTATTGGTTGATGAACTTAGAGGTTCATCTTAGGGGGGGGGGTGAATCCAATAATACGTCTTTTTTTATTATGTTTCTTAAGATCATGTTGTTAAAGTTATAAACTAGATTTTGACCTGCACAACCACGCGGTGTTTATTTTCACTTTTATATACATAAATATTTGTTTTAGAACATAAGTGGTATATTTTTTTAAACTGAATCATATATTTAAATGTTTATATAACTATTTTAAATAAAATAATTTTATACTTTACATGTTATATTGATCAATTGATTAAAACCATATTTATTTGTTACTTCTTATTATATATTATCTTATTGTATTTGCATTTAGTTATTAAGAAAACTAATATATTCATGAGAAAACATATTTAAAAATTATTTTGTATTTAATTATGGTAAATTTACACTCTTTCTTCAAAGTTGGATTTCCTTTCACAAATATTTTTATGTTTATTTATTTTATATACAAAAGTCTAAGTAATGTTTATTTTTATACATGTATTATATAGTTTGCTAATTTAAGCCTTTTTCATAATATTATATTTTTAAAATAAATAGTTTATATTTATGAAAACAAAATTTATAAATTTATCAATTTAATATACTTTTATCATATTAAAATCAATATAATAATTTTATT